CATCACTTAAGCCTTGCAAGCATTGCAAATAATGAGTTAGTTGCGGGATGATGTATTACTGAACGAGTAAAGAGACTTGCCAGTAACGAGATTGAACTAGGTATTGAGATACCGACGATCGAATCTCCGGCAAGTAACATACCGATGACAAAGGGAACAACGTATGTTGTTATGCGGTCTAACCGATAAAGATCTTCGTAGAATATGTAGGAGCCAATATGATCCAGGTTCCGCTATTGGTTATTGACCGAAGACGTGTCTCGGTCATCTCTAGATAGTTCTCGAACCCGTAGGGTCCGCACGCTTAACGTTACGATGACAATTTTATTATGAGTTTATGTGTTTTGATGTACCGAAGGTTGTTCGGAGTCCTGGATGTGATCACGGACATGACGAGGAGTCTCGAAATGGTCAAGACATGAAGATTGATATATTGGAAGCCTATGTTTGGATATCGGAAGTGTTCCAGGTGAAATAGTGATTTTACTGGAGTACCGGAGGGGTTACCGGAACCCCCCGGAGGCTATTGGGCCTTATGGGCCCAAGTGGAGGAAGAAGAGAGGTGGCCAAGGGGCAGCCGCGCGCCCCTCCCCCCCCCCCAAAGTCCGAATTGGACAAGGAGGGGGGCGGCGCCTCCCCTTTCCTTTCCCCTCTCTCCTCCCCCAAGTCCTAATCCAACTAGGAAAGAGGAGGGGAGTCCTACTCCCGGTGGGAGTAGGACTCCTCCGGCGCGCCTCCTCCTATGTTCGGCCGCACCCCCCCTTGCTCCTTTATATACGGGGGCAGGGGGCACCCCATAGACACAATAATTGATTATTGATTTCTTAGCCGTGTGCGGTGCCCCCCTCCACCATAGTCCACCTCGATAATACTGTAGCGGTGCTTAGGCGAAGCCCTGCGTCAGTAGAACATCAACATCGTCACCACGTCGTCGTGCTGACGAAACTCTCCCTCAACACTCGGCTGGATCGGAGTTCGAGGGACGTCATCGGGCTGAACGTGTGCTGAACTCGGAGGTGACGTACGTTCGGTACTTGATCGGTCGGATCGTGAAGACGTACGACTACATCAACCGCGTTGTGCTAACGCTTCCGCTTTCGGTCTACGAGGGTACGTGGAGAACACTCTCCCCTCTCGTTTCTATGCATCTCCATGATCTTGCGTGTGCGTAGGAAATTTTTTGAAATTAATACGTTCCCCAACAGTCGAACCCAACGAGGAGCTAAAGGTAGAACAAATATTCCCTCAAGTTCTATCGACCACCGATACAACTCTACGCACACTTAACATTCGCTTTACTTAGAACAATTATGAAACTAGAAGTACTTTGTAGGTGTTGTTGGATAAGTTTGCAAGATAATAAAGAGCACGTAAATAAAAGTTAAGGGCTGTTTAGATAAAAACACAACTAAGTTAGTTTCAGTAGAGAGCTTTTTGTCACCAGAAAGTTATTTGTCCGTAGACAATCGATGACTAGACCGGTAATCATTATTGCAATTTTATTTGAGGGAGAGGCATAAGCTAACATACTTTCTTTTCTTGAATCATATGCACTTATACTAGCAAGCATCCGCAACTACTAAAGATCATTAAGGTAAAACTCAACCATAGCATTATAAGGCATCAAGTCTTCTTTTACTTTCATACGCAAACAAGCTACTTACTCAGGTTTGTGCTTCTGTCATTCACGCCACTCACCATAAGCAAATCATAAACATATTACAAACCGTACAACGGATATCCCTCACGCTTGCGCGACACGGAAAATATCATAGGACAGCACCAGAGGCGGATTTGGGCCTGGAGCAACTGGGGCTGTAGCCCCCGGCGTGGCCCAACTAGCACCTATACGTCTGATAGTCAAAATTCCAGAATTTTAGATACAATGAAGCGCAGCCCCAGGCTTTAGCACATAGACGTGCAAGGCTACAACTATGCCAGCCCATTAGCCCAACTATAAGCCCTCCACGACTGTGCAATTCCCAATCGATCAGAACTGAAAAGAAAATCGTGCAGTTGACCTACGCTCGATCCTCTCTTCCGATTCATCAAACTAGAGAAACCCTCGCCTCGTCCAGATACTGCGCCGCCACCTAAGTCAACCTGCGATCCGTCCCGTCCGGCGTCCTGACCATCCGCCTTTGGTTCTTCCTGTTCTTCTCCAAGTCTCCAACTCCCGTGAAATTGTAGTGCGTCCACACCCGGTTCAACAGGTAATTTGTAGTTTGTATCATGTAAATTCGTTTTTGCTACTTCCTCTATATCAGCCCATTTCGGTGAGTTGGTGATTTTAAATTTACTCCTTTTACTCAGGTCAATTTTATTTCATTATCAAGATGGAATCAGAAATCCAAGATGAGTCCATGAATCACAGCCTGGTAAGCTACATTGAGCTTGATGATCTACAAGGATTGATGATTTTAGATCGTACAGTGCTATATAAAATGAGGAAAACATGGGGCTATTGGCCTCGTGCAGTTTTTGAGAATGATATATTATGTTTTCGTTTTGTGCAAAATTATCATATGAACAATTGACTTGGTGTATATCCAGTGTCTTGATTTCAAATACTTGATTTTATGTTTTTAACTCAAGGCCCTTCTACTATTGTGGGTGAAGAAACGATGGCCTCAAATTGAGCAAGTCTTTGTTAATTTGGTACGAACGCTTGCCTGATGCACTTTGTTAAAACTATATTTTTATTGAATTTCCTCTCATGGTAACAATGAATTCATATTTAATTTTAAACATGAACTTGTAGCATACTTATAGCATGCTTTGGTATGCGTAGTATTCGACATTATTTTTAGTAACTTAACTTTAGCCCCAGGCTTTGAGAAATTCTCGCTCCGCCTGTAGACAGCACCAATAATAAAACATGCAACTCAAACTAATCACGATCATCAATTAACCCATAGGACAAAACAGATCTACTCAAACATTGTAGGATAGCATACATCATTGGGAAATAATATAAATCGTTGAGCACCATGTTTAAGTAGAGATTACAGCGGGTAAAAGAGGGGGGAAGAGTTGGTGATGACGGCGGTGAAGTTGTTGGTGTAGATCGTTGTCGCGATGATGGCCCCGGCGGCGTTCGGCGTCACCGGGAGAGAGGAGGAGAGAGCCCCCCTTCTTCTTCTTCTTCTTCTTCTTCTTTGACCTCCCCCCCTAGATGGGAGAAGGGTTTTCCCTCTGGTCCATGGCCTCCATGGCGGCGGAGGGGCGAGAGCCCCTCGGAGATTGGATCTCTCTCTGTTTCCTTCTGTTTCTGCGCTCCCCGATTCTTCCTTTTCACCATTTCTTAAATTCTCAGAGATCCGTAACTTTGATTAGGCTGAAATTTTGATACGATTTTTATCCGGATATTGGCTTTCTTGCGACGAAATAAGGGCACCAAGTGCCTTACGGAGTGGCCACGAGGGCCCATGGTGCGCCCCTCACCCTCGGGCATCGTCTCGCATTGATTCCACTTCCCAAAATTCACATATATTCCAAAAAATCTCCGTAAGTTTTTATCCCGTTTGGACTCCGTTTGATATGGATTTTCTACGAAACAAAAAACATGCAACAAACAGGAACTGTCACTGGGCACTGGATCAATATGTTAGTCCCAAAAATAGTATAAAAAGTTGCCAAAAGTATGTAAAAGTTGTATAATATTGGCATGAAACAATCAAAAATTATAGATACGACGGAGACGTATCAGATCTTCGAACGGATCTGGGTGAAAACCTGCTCTCGGCTAGCTGCCAAGGCCGGCGGTGGCGGTGCTGTCTGCGTCGCTCCCTTCTTAAAGACATCACCGTGGAGAAGTTTAAGGTCACTCTATGCTACCTCCAAGGAAAACTCTAGATCAGTAGATCAGATGACGGTGGTGCTATGGTGTCGTTTCCCTCTTGGAGGTGTCATTCATGGAGGTGTACACGCACCGAGGGGCCAGTGGAAGGCTTTTTGGTGGAGCGGTGCTTCAGCTTACACATTGATGGCGGCAGATCTCGGCGGCATGGCGCCGTGGAGACTCGACTTCTGATGCGTGGAGATGGACTCGTGCAGGGAGGTGGCGCTGTCTGGCGTCGTGGTGGCATCGACGGCAACTAGAACGGGCAAGGTTGATGCAGCAGTACTGCACTAAAGATGGATTGGTGGCAGGTGGTTGCGGCGGCCTCATACTCGGTAGGCGTCCTGGTTGAGAAGTGCGCCGGACTGGTAGGTATCCCATACCCGGCACGCATCCTGGTTGGGACCTCAGGTCTTAAATGATATGTTTGGCTGTGCGGTCTGTTTGGTATTAGGCCCAGACTATCAGCATCCCTTCATCAACTAGATAAGAGTGGCGATAGATGTTACCTAGACGGTGGCTTTAGTCTTACTATTGTATGACTTTGTAAAGTCTTGTGTGAATAATTAATAAAGTGGCTACATGCATCGTCTAGATGCAGAGGCCAGGGTACTCCTCCTTTTGTAAAAAAAGTTTAGCAATCCTGTGCAAAAAGTTAAAAAAAATCATTAGTACACTTTGTGGACGTTTGGGCCAGCCGTCTTCATTGAGCCGCATTTGCATTTTTAGTTTGATGATACAGACAGCACGACATGTGTAATGTGTTTAGCTGAAGCTACGTATGTAATGTATGAAGCATCTGCTCTGTAAAATGAGACCCGCTACCGCTGTGGGAGGATATTTCGTGTCGCCAGCCACTAGCTTCATCAGACGCGCTGCGCCGAACAACTTAACTGTTGCTCCCTTATCGGATCAAAACAGATCTTGTCAGGAACGTCAACAACAACACATGACATGTGAGGATCACGATGAGGGCAACCGCAACCTTTGTCCCTAAGCTACCTCCTCTCCTTATCGTCGACGACGTGTGCGACCACCATAATTCCCAGGCTCCCAGCACCTACGACTGATCGTCGAGGCCAGCCGAGGTATCGTCGTCACATAGATCGAGCGCTACTGAAAGACCAAACCAACCACGGAAGGTCGTGCAATCGCATCTATGGAAAGCACAGGGGGAGCGAGACCAACGTCGACGGTGCAGGAGCTCGCCGGCGCCCACGGCAAGCCCGACGTGCCGGCCCGGTACGTCTCACGCAGTCACCACGAAAACGGCCAGCACCCCACCGCGGCGCCGGTCCCTGTCATCGACATCGGCCGCCTTTTCAAGCAGGAGGGCGCCGCCGCAGCTGACGGCGAAGAGGCGAAGCTCCGGCAGGCGCTCGAGTCGTGGGGCCTCTTCCTGGTAATTAATCATCTATTCTCTCGTCGCTGAGCGAAATCGATCAAGCTTGCGTGTTGAGCGAGCGTACCGTGTCGTCTGTCGTGTGTGTCTGCAGGTGACTAACCACGGCGTCGACACCTCGGTGATGGACGGCATGATGGTCGCGTCAAGGGAGTTCTTCCGGCAGCCACCCGAAGAGAAACAGAGATACATCAACCTTATCGGGGGCGAGCGGTTCCAGCTCGAGGGGTACGGGACCGACCGGGTGAGCTCGGCGGAGCAGATCCTCGACTGGTCCGACCGCCTCTACCTCAGGGTGGAGCCCGAAGACGAGCGCAGCCTCGCCCTCTGGCCAGCGCATCCTCAAACCTTCATGTGATCAGTGATCACACAAAGATTGATGCGATCGTCGTCTCGAAAAATAATATAGGAAATATCAAGCTCATCAACTCTTTTTTTTTTACAGGAATCTTCTGCACGAGTTCACCACGAAATGTAGGGTGGTGAAGGATGGACTGGTCCAGGCAATGGCGAGGCTGCTGGGGCTCGACGACGACTATATAATGGACCAGTTTGGGGAGAAGGCTGACACTTACGCTAGATTCAGCTACTACCCGGAGTGCCCGAGGCCGGAGCTTGTGTTCGGCCTGAAGCCCCACTCCGATGGGAGCGTTCTTACCGTGCTCATGGTCGATGACACCATTGGTGGGCTCCAGATTTTGAGAGATGGTGTCTGGTTCGATGTACCAATTGTTCCTCACACCCTGCTGATCAACATAGGAGACCAAACTGAGGTAAACACCATCACCTCCACGCTCGCAGTATGCCAATCGAACCGCTACTGTCTCTGTTCCAGTTCCAAAATATAGAAAGCTTAAATATAAACATTTAGAATATGGAAACATATTTTATTATGAATATAATAGTATTGATTTTGATTTGTTAGATGTTTTATATAAATTCGGTCAAGGTTTACTAAACTTGACTCAAGACAAAACTAGTATGCACTATATTTTAATGTTTGAAGAGACATTTTATCTTTGACCTTTGGTTAAAATATTATTTAGAATTTTAGATGAAAATGTAACATTACAATATTAATGAAGTTGTTCCACAATATTTTTCCCAGATTTATATGAGACAATGAAGATATAGCGTGTCCAGATCATGGTTTTATGCAGAAACTTGAGTCATCTTGCCACCAATGATTTAGTATGGAGTTTATTTCATATATTCTCACTGCTTATTTCTAATTTGTATCTATATCAATATAAAGATCACAGGTTGTAGAAAAATGGCATGCCTCCGTTAATCACACATAAACTTATGGTTCTTAGTTATACTTGTTGTCTCCTAATTATTTAATCCCTAAATTTATTTTGTATACATGACAATTGTTGGTTTTCTTGAAAAAACTATGCGATATTTATTTTATAAAAAATATCTTCGCTTCAGCTTTGCATGCTATTTGAAAATTTCCAAAAAGTGTTTCTAATTCATAGAAAAGTTATACAACGATTGCTACATGTGGGCTTATAATTTTCTTGTGCTTCTAACATCTTTGTTTATGGAAGTATGTAAAATTACATGGTTTTACAATTTTCAAACATGTCAAGGATAACAATGGTAAGAAAAGACGTCATAACAATTGTAGTTTTCTTCCCGCATTTGTGATACCAGTCATTATTAACTGTTATATATACATTATATTTCAAAATGATTACGGGTCTACCTCCGCCATGGGTGGATCAGTTAGGAAGGTGGTCAGAGGTGAAAATATTCATCACACATCGAAAAGTCCCCCAAACTCTTGGCCTAATCATAAAAAAATTGTAACAGATAATGAGCAATGGAATCTTCAAAAGCCCCGTGCATAGAGTTGTGACAAATGCTGAGAAAGAAAGGCTATCGCTGGCTCTATTCTACTCGGTTGATCCTGAGAGAGAAATTGAGCCAGCGACTCAGCTGGTAGATGAGAAGAGACCAGCGTTGTACAGAAAGGTCAAGGTGAAGGACTACATTGCTGGACTCTATGAACATGTGTCTCAAGGAACGATGGTTATTGACACAGTGAAGATATAAATAAGTGTGGTATCATGTTGGTAATGCAAAACGTGTAATCGTTCTAGGAACAATTTATCTCCATATATTGTTGCATGTTAACTCTATTAAGTACTCCCTTTGTTCAGCATCACATGTCAGTCTTGAATTTTGCTGCCATCCGGGCAAAGCTCCGGTCAGTGGTCGGTGGTGGAGGGACTCTTGCTAATATGGGCATGAAGGTCGTGGGCATGGCGGCGGATCGCGGCGCCAATTTTGTTGGCGGGCTGTCCTTCCTAGTGAACGACAGCAGGCTAGTGGTGGAACGCTCCTCCGTGTCTTCTCTTGGGTGCCTCACCTTCTGGTTGTGCTGCTCAGCCTGAGCATGGCATGGGTCGGTGGTCATCGTTGCTGGCGGAGCTTTGATCTACGGATGCTGGCTGGGCTTGATCTACGGCGTGGTGATTGTTGTTGCCATCGTGCGATGATACCCATCGTTCTGATCTAGCCAAACATGGGTGGGTTTCCGGAGCGGTCGTCCCATCACCTAGATTCACCCGTGGGGGGTGACCACTCTGGCCTGCGGCAACAGTCTTGATGCAGACTGCGATGGCCACCTAAAGTTCTTTGGAAGGGTTTCTCCCTTCAGATCCGAAGGTTGACTTCGGCAGCAAGATGCAAACTATGGACAACAGTTTGACGCATTGGGATGTTTGTGCAGCAACGGTGGTCGCACATCGCACGTAGATGCTGGGTTCACAAAAAAGTGGTGGTGACAACATATGAGTGATATCGATGGTGGTGCTAATCAAGCACCCCGATCACGAGCTTCGGGGTGAAAACCTAGGTCTGATCCGAATTGGTTATACCTGGCAATGGCGATGTTTTTACCATCGTTACCTTGCTAGAGGCATTGCTCGGACTAATTCTTCAGGGTGAAAACCCAGATTCTAGCATTTTGTGGTTGGATCCTGCGACGACAGCGTTTGATCACCACTCCTATTCTGAAAGCGTTGTTGATGAGTAAACTCGTCATTTGTGTGATGTCATGACATGATTGGTGTGGATATGGTCATTGTTGTAGTTTGCCGATCACGAAACTGATTAGTTTGGTTTTTTTCCTCGCTTGCTCATATCTTTGGTCTTGCATGACTTTGCCATTTGCCGATGTGTTTTTTTGTGTTCGTGTTGGCTGTGTGCATTCTATCTATGCAGCGATCAGGTGTGTACACTTAATGCTTCATTTTAAGCTAATAAAATCCACTCTTTGTGGAGAAAAATGATTTCATTTATCGTCCATGGTTCAGCCCTATGCCACATGCCCACCGTATATATAATACGGCAGCCAGCCTAGTGCCAGTTTTTTTTTTTTTTTTGCGCGGTCAGCCTAGTGACTGTTAGGTGCAACTCAAACCTTATCGTGTTTGAGTTTACTGAAAAATTTGAAATTTAAGGCTATCAATTTATTTTACTTTAGCAGCAATGACAACTCCTCTGATCGGCGGCTAGCCGGCTACACCTCTGATCGGCACGTTGTCGCTCGCTGACAGCCGGCGACATATCACATAACATAGCATGTGGAGACGAGGATGGCCGAGACTGCAACATTCGTCCGTAGTACTGAAAGATGGGCACGATAACAGCAGTGACCAACGGGAAAATATTGTCGCACGTCACGTTGAACGAGCGCTACTTTTCTACTGAAGAGACCACATGATGGCTGGTGGGATTGGTGTATCTATGGAAAGCACGGGGGGAGCGAGAGCGCCCACGACGGTGCAGGAGCTGGCCGGCGCCCTCGCCGCGCCCGTCGTGCCGGCCCGGTACGTCGTGCGCGGACAACACGACCACGACCAGCAGCCTGCGACGGCGGTAGTGGCGCCAATCCCTGTCATCGACCTCGGCCGCCTTTTCAAGCTGGACGACACCACCGCTTCTGCCGAGGAGGCAGCGAAGCTCCGGCTGGCGCTTGAGTCGTGGGGTCTCTTCCTGGTAAGCAGTGATAACGACTTGAAATTTTGGAGCGGTATCAAGCGACAAGCGTCGGTGTTAAGCATACCATGTTGTGCCCCTGCAGGTGACTAACCACGGCGTAGATGCCGCCGTGATGGATGGCATGATGGCCGCTTCGAGGGAGTTCTTTCAGCGGCCACCGGAAGAGAAGCAGAGATACACCAACCTGATCGGCGGCGAGCGGTTCCAGCTCGAGGGGTACGGGACCGACCAGGTGAGCTCGCCGGACCAGATCCTAGACTGGTCCGACCGCCTCTTCCTCAAGGTGGAGCCGGAGGACGAACGGAGCCTCGCCCTCTGGCCGGCGCACCCCGAAACCTTCAGGTGACCGATCTCACAAACATGAATAATGTGATATATCTGAAAATTGTACTGTTGAGGATATATTGTTCTTGGTTTTCATGTTCGGGGATCTTCTTGACGAGTTCACGAATAAATGTGGGGAAGTGAAGGATGGTCTGCTCCGGGCAATGTCAAAGCTGCTGGAGCTCCACGATGACTACTTCGTGGACCAGCTTGGGGAGAGAGCTGACACTTATGTTAGATTCAGCTACTACCCAGAGTGCCCAAGGCCGGAGCTCGTGTTCGGCCTTAAGCCCCACTCTGATGGGAGTGTTCTTACCGTGCTCATGGTCGATGACGTTGTTGGTGGCCTGCAACTCCTTAGAGACGGCGTTTGGTGGGATGTACCGGTCGTGCCCCACACCCTACTGGTCAACGTAGGAGACCAAACTGAGGTAAACACCGTTCCCTAGCTCATGGTTAAAGAAAAGGCAAATATCAATGTAGCATGTATTCAAGAATAAATGAGTTATGTATAAAGTACACAATATAGTTAGATGTGTGCATCGCAGTGAAGCAGAGACCAGGGGCACACCCGTCTTAAAAATACTTCTGAATATTGTGTATGATTTTTATTGCATGATAATTAATATTTACTATAATAATGTATGATTTTATGCTAACATATCCATATAAAACATAACAATAAAACTTACATGTTGGGGACATATGTGTCACACCTCTTTTCTACGGAGGAAAGAAAGTGTCACACACATAACCCTTGAACATTAATATTTTTTTGTTAAAAATAGCCAAGCTCTTCATCGCTCTTTCATGGTTTATGGCACAGATAATAAGCAATGGGATCTTCAAAAGCCCTGTGCATAGGGTTGTCACAAATGCTAAGAAAGAGAGGTTATCAGTGGTTTTGTTCTACTCCGCTCGTTCTGAAAGAGAGATCGAGCCAGCTACTCAGCTGGTAGACGAGAAGAGGCCGGTGTTGTACAGAAAGATCAAGGTCAAGGACTACATTGCTGGACTCTATGAACATGTCTCTCAAGGGACAATGGTTATCGACACGGTGAAAATATTCTAAGTGCGGTGTCATGTGTTTCATGCAAATTCTTTTGCCATTCTGGGACCAATATACTCATCTGTTATTTGCATGCCGACTGTCAAGTGTCTTAAGTACTCCTTTTGTTAAACAACCCATGCCGTTTTCAGGTTTTTTGTGTGGTCTTCTGTGCATTGTTGTTTTGGACATTTTCCAGTTTTGTTGTTTTTTGATGATATAAAATAAACTATTTATAAATCAACACTAAGAACAATCTCATATGATCATGAAAAATTGTACAAATACAAAATCATAAAGAATATCTTTATTGGAAGGCTGTAAGTACCGACTAAAAATAACTATTTACAAACTTAGAACTAACTATTTTCATCTCATTAGAACTACAAATACCGATAAAAAGTTAACTAAAAACATAAAACAAATCAGATTTGAAAAGGTTCACAAATTTGAAAACAGTTTATGAATTTGAAAAAAGGTTCATTACTCTGACAAAAGTTCGTGAGTTTGAAAAAGAAATTGCAGATTGGAGAAACATTCATTGATTTGACAAAAAATCATGAAATTGAAAAAAGTTCATGAGTTTGAAAAAGTTCACGGTTTTGAAGAAAGTTCATAAATTTGAAAAAAAGTTTGCGAGATTGAAAAAGGTTCACGAATTGGAAAAACATTCACGAATTTGGAAGTTCACGGATGTTTTTTCATATGACACAATTGGAATGTCGATGTTTGGAGGCGTTTAGATCATATATAATATGGATCGTTCGACCCAAATATTTAAGAGGTTGTCTTTCCTCCTCCACAGGAAAATCTTCATCCTCCTCCCGCCGGCTCCGTCGTCGATCCGCCCCACGTCTCCAACTTGAAAGTCGAACCGGAGATGGTTAATGAAGATATCATTGAGTTGATGGCTGTTGTGTATAATTGTGATCATTTTGTGAACAAGCATGCCGACTCCTTGCGGCCTGCTGGTGAGCTCCTGAAAAAGATTTCAAACATTGACTCTCAGAATTGGGGCCTAGTTAAAGTAGCGACTGCTCTCAAGATACTATGCTACCCTGAAGAGAAACTTCCCGGCGATCCTCTGGAGGCTTTCTCAGCGGAAGAGTATTCCAAGTTGGTGAATGATGGACCTCGATACGAAGGTAAATTTTTTGAAGGTGTCTTGCAAGATTATCTTCGAAGAAATGATATCGGTCCGTCGCCATAGGAATAGGATGTTAAGACTCTTGGGCCATCACGTGAGGGAGGCAAGAAAAGCATATGATGTCGGAGAAGCTTCGACGAGCATCCCCTCAAAAAAGAGGCAACGCTTCGATGGGGCGGCTACTGAGCCGAGGAAAAAATTACGCTGGCCTCTGAAGCCGCTCAAGCCGCCACAGGCTTGCCGTCAATGCACCATGGCTACAGCCCCTTCCCAGGTGCGAGAGTGCTCCTGTTTGGACGAGCCGAGTAGGGATAGCTGTGCTCTGTTGTCGAAGATACAAGCGTTACGGTGCTTCAAGATGGCCACGAACCTGTGGAGCCGCGTAAAGACACTAGGTAGTTTATGAACCGAGCTAATTAAGCTCATCACCTTTTACATTTTCATGTTTTCTGATACTAAGGCACCATCGCCTGTGATACTTACGGGGTGTGCAATAGGCACGATCCACATCTCGATTCGTTTCTCCTCGTATAGTCGTATCGCAGCAAGCCAGCCGGGAGTTAGCTGCTTCTTTATTTTCTTGATAAAATAGGGGAAAAAAGACAGCAGAAGACAATATGTAACGTTTTGCAGCGGAGGACGTGACATTTACACCGGTGCGTGGTCAAGAAAGCTCTTCTCTCGCTACGATGCCTCCTTCTGCCTTTCATGCCCACACCTCGCCACAAAATGGCGAAGCCAAACGCCTCATTCATACCACCAATGATATGCCACGCTCCATTTTGGGTAGAGACATTCCACAACGTCCCCGTCAGTGTCAGAAAGGACACATGTGATAGTGTATCGATCATAGTAAAAAATTCATTGTTTGGCGCTTGGCTCTGTTGTTTCACAAAGATGCTCAGCCAGCTCTCTATCAAAGAGGGCCCATATGCATCTGGTCATTAAGCATTCAAGCAAAGAATGCCACCATGAATCTGACAGCTACACATGGACTTGTTTGACATGTTTCTATGTGCTCTCACATCCTCTGTGGGTAGAGAATGTCTGGCTAATCTCCATAAGAACATGCGGATTTTACCTGTCAATGGAGTTTTCCACGAGAGCTTCCATGAGGTCGTGCCTCAGCCGTTGCTCAAAGAGCCTGACGAGCCATCCAGTCATTCTTCTCATCTCAGCTTCGTATGTATCATGATTCTATATGTGAATCTGATCAAGAAACAACCAAGATGCAGTTAAACCGAGCTCAAGTGAACAGTAAAATAAAAAATCAAATAATTTTGAATTTTTTTGTTGCAAACGTTGACAAAATATTTTGATTGCTTGCAATGTTTCATCATCGATGACATTCATGCAAGAGGTGGCAAAAAACGATGCTCCAAAAATATTATTTTCAAAATCATTTTGGAGTATTGTTTTTTTTACCACGTCTTCCATGAGTATCATTTCGTGATGAAACTTTGCAAACAATAAAAATAGTTGTCAATGTTTGCTAAAAAATATTAGATTTTTTTGATTTTTTATTTATTTTACTGTTCACTCGAGCTCTTAGAAAGGCACTTTGGGAAATATCCGTTCTTTTTGAAGTATATATGATTTTTGTAGGGGTTCGAACTTCGAAGTATATATGATGCTTGATGCTGTTAAATTGTGGGCTGCACTACCACTTATGGACTTGGGCTTTGTTAATTGGATCAAAGAGAATTCCGCACAAAAATTGGGTCACTCCGGGGAGATGGGATCGGTGAGGACGCTTGCTTGTAGGGCTTCGCACCGATGGAAACGAGATCGGGGCGTCGCCGCTCGCCTCCACCGCCACCGCCGCCGCATGTAGCTCACCGCCGCCGTAGTCCACAAGATGCCGACCTCATCAGCGACCTCCCCGACGATGTCCTCCTCCTGGTGCTGGTGCGCCTACGCTGCGTCCGTGCCGCCGCGCGCACCGGGCTCCTCTCGCGCCGGTGGCGCGGCCTCTGGACCTGCCTCCCGGATCTCACCTTCCGTGGCGTCCCGCCCGCCACCGTCGAATCGGCGCTCGCCAGTTTCGCTGCTTCGCCGACAGTGCCCCTCCTCGACATCTGCATCCGGGTGGGACATACAGCTGCCCAAGCCAGCTCGTTGCTGCGCGCCGCCGCTGTACTCTCTCCGGCGGAGCTATTCTTCGACTTCCCGGGGTCTAGTAAGGTAGTTCTGAGCCAGATGGACCGCATCGAGCTGCCGTGCTTCGACCGCACCATATTGATCAAGCTGGAGACCTGGTTCTGCGTCATGCCGCCGCCGGCCGGCGAGTTCACTGCGCTGGAGAGGCTGTCCCTCAAAGCCTGCATCCTGAACCTTGGCACCTTTACGCCACAGTCAGCTGGCGAGTTCCCCGCGCTCAAGACGCTGGCCCTTGACGGCGACATTGTTGACCTTGGCACCTTCCTGAACCGCTGCCCTCGATTGCACAACATCAGTATCACCTTCCGTAGTGTCGCGTCTGGCTCACACGAAGCGGCGCTAGCCACACTCGAAGCTGTGGCGGCACACGGTGGTGTCTCAGTGTCCCTACTCGGCATCCACCTCGGTAGTGCACATGGTACCGATGCCACCCTTCTCCGCGCCGCAGCGAGGCTCTCCCGGCAAGAGCTCGTCTTCACTCACCTAATTGACACACTATATGACCAGAAGTATAGGAATGTCAACCTGCCCTGTTTTCCCCATGCCGTCTCGATCAAGATTAAACTGTATCAAATCTGCTTCACACGGCTTCTTGGTGGCAAGTTCTCCAAGCTCGACAGTATGATCCTTAAAGGATGCATCATCCACGACCTTAGCACCTTGGTTTCCCTCTGCCCATGCCTTCGTGTGCTGAAGGTGAAGGCAGGTATGTCCAAATGTGAGATCACGATCCACTCAACATCGCTGCAGGAGATTGTCCTGTATTACTATACGGAATGCCGTGGCGTTGACATTGTGACTCCCATGCTTAAGCAATTGACAATGGATTTTGAGGCTGACAAAGACATCAATGTGTTCATATCGGCACCAATGCTGGAGAGTGTCTCGTTGGAACGCTCTTATATAGGTTTGCCCATTGTGTTTGATTTTTGGCACCTTCACTCTCTGAGCTTAGATAGACAGGGGTTGGTCAGAAACAACCATGTCCTCTATGTTTCCATGTATGCCTTGGTATGTCTTCTGTCCTGCTCAATTTACTGGATTTACCGACTAAATTAGTTTTATGCATGACACCCTACCATAATATTTTGCAGAATTCCTCGAGTGTAGAACTGGACTTTGCCCAAGAAATAGAGAAAATTCTGATTACCGACTTCTCTGTATTGGACCTAAGCCTCGAGGCAAAGGGGCACGTGTATGGGGCAACTTTGTCGCGTCTCTTTAGTGTGCCCCGGGTTCATACTGGTTTGAAATTGCTGAAGGTCATCCTACTGAGATTGAGGAAGTCCGAGGTAATTCTTCCATGTAGTTATATATCCCGCATTCATAATACTTGCTAAACACAATTTCTATTGGTAGCCATGAGATAAGATCTTTAGTACGTAGCTTAGCATGAATAAATATAGTACACTGTAATACTGTTCATTTGCTTTAGGTGGTACAATCATGCCCAGGGAATTGTCCATGTGATTCTCCCAAAAATTGGAGAAGCCAAAGTATCTCCATGGTTCATCTAGAAGAAGTGGAAATCAAAGGCCTAAAAGGAGAAGATCATGACTTTGATGTCTTGAAATTGATTCTTAGATGTGCACCGTCTCTTAAAAGGATGACCGTGGAACTGGAAACTGGGATTAAATCACATGGCCACGGAGATTGCACCAAGGAAATCAACAGCATCTCACTGGAGTATCCTTCCGTGGATTTTCATGTTTATCTCCAAGGAAATCAACAGCATGCGTTTTCATCACGCTCCTAGGGACTAAATCATATGATGTGACTCTGGAGGCTGCACCTGCTCTAAGAATGTCTACACCATCTCCTTGGGGTATCCTTCCATGAATTTCCATGCTCGGTTCTCTGGTGAACTTGGTGCTGCATGCATGTCCATCAGCGATTCCTGGTATTCATTTGAAGAACCTAAACTCTTGCTAAATCTCTTTGAACCTGTTGCCTGTTGCCTACAAATACTCTACTAAGAAACTTATACAGTGTTGTCGGTATCTTCAGCTAATTTAGAGCACGGCATTTCGACACTTTTTTTCATGCTTCGTATTTGTATTTTGCACAGTGAAAACGTACCAAACCTATTCATCATATATAGGTTGTCCAGGCAATGCATGCTGATGAGCACCAGGCAGCCATATAGCATAGTGTATCCACCTCCCGAAAATGCATCCAAATCGAGCTGTGTACACATCCACGTTTCCGAACAATGACATTTTCTGTGCTATGCATCAGCGGATTTTCTTGGGTTTCGAATAAAACTATAAATGCACGTGGCTGTAGTAGGCCTCTAGATCATCTCCCAACTGCTAAAACCCGGAGGAGAGATCACAGATTACGCTCTTTGGACGGCATTATGTCAAATTAGAAATTGTGAGGCTGGACTGACATGTTGGCCTAATGCGATTGTCGAAATCACTAGTTAAGGCTCTGGAATACTCGCTGGCCATAACCGGTGTCGACGGGCTGGACCCGGCAATGGACCCGAGGAGCGACCTGCGGCGGACGCTTTCGCCGGTGCTCAACCTCACGATCTACATCAAGGAGTTCGACAAGTTCCTAGGATTCAGTAACATAGTTTCAAGATTTCATAAATAATAAACTAATATTTTAAAAAAGAATCGGCCACACTTATGTCATGAAACCGAATTCCCATGATATATGTATTGGCAAACTGTGGCATCCATGCAGAGTACACCATGCCAAGATGTCTTTGTCAGTCTCATGCAACATGGTCCTAACACTGGCGTCAACATTTGAACATCATAAAAATGATTTATTCACTCATGGGGATATGATTTATATGTTTTTAAGAAAAAAAACTAGTACAGAAGAAGGAAGGGAAGGGACACTGAGCTGATAAGAGAATATGGAAATGTTCACAGAGCGTATTTATGCAAACTCAAACATAAACCGGACTAATTCTTCATTTTAACCAGATTCATCCTCTGTAAGTTCATCAATTATTTACTTTCCAATGGGTACTGTGGCATGAAAGTACAGTTATCTCACTTAGATCTTGAATGCATCGGCTATTCGTGCTCCTCGGCCTTGAGAGAAATGTTCAAGTTGCGTGACTAGTAAGTCCTTGGCCTTCATTTTCCTGTACCGTGCCGGTTGCTCATCACTCAACAGATGAGCTATTGGCCCAATCTCTTGATCAGGGTCCACACCATAGAACATGGCCACTGATATCCTCTCTTTATCGGCATTAGTCACAACTCTATGCACTGGCCCTGTGAAGATCCCGTTGGTCATTATCTGCCAGAGAAATGGTCAGGTGAAACTCATCAAGAATTTGAGTATAGTGGTATCATATGGGAGACAATTTACTGGAGGTTCAGAGATAGTCACCTCCATTGCAAAACCAATGTTGATCAGCAGGGTGTGCTTACACACAGCTGGAACATTGTACCAGGTTCCATCTCTAAGATATTGCAGCCCAGCGACATCTTTGTCCATGAGAAGAACCGTGAGAACAGAGAAATCCGCGTGAGGCTTGACGCCCAGGACAAGATCAGGTCTTGGACACGGCGGGACGTAGTTGAATCTAGCATAAGTGCGTGCATTACTGTTAAACTGATTAACGAAGCAGTCTTCATCAAGCTCCAAAAGCTTGGCTATTGCCCTAAGGATTTCGCCTTTGATTCTCTTGCATCTCAATGCGTATTCGTGCAGATCATCCCTGCAAACAGAGCTCAGGTAGTCCAATTAAACCAAGCCTAGTTTACTAGTGTCTGTTTTGTTTCTGTAGCCCATGTCACTCAAGACATAAATAAGCAAACCCGCAAAGAAAAAGACATAAATAAGCAAATGAACTTTCTTCTACAAAACAGACAACAAAGAAAGAAACATTTGAACACAGGTATCTGTGACACGGTGCCGCTGATAGATTACCTGAAAGATTTGGGATGTGTTGGCCAATGTGCAAGGTTTCTCCCACCCTCTGGCTCAATTCTAAGATGCAGACGATCAGACCAGTCTAAAATCTGATCTTGAGTTTTCACCTGGTCATTTCCATACCCTTCTACCTGGAAATGTTTCCCGCCTATCAGGTTACTGCATTTTTTCTTCTCTTCATGTGGTAGGTGAAAAAATTCCCTTGATGCAGTCATCACAGAATCCATCAAAGAGGTCTCCATTCCATGGTTAGAAACCTGGTACACAGGCTGATGCGTGTCATAGAAAAGCAAGTACTCTAGAAGTAAAAAATGCAAGACAAAGATTTTTTTCTCCCTGAGATAATGGAATAGCCAACTCTTGCAACTTATGCGTCGTGAGATGCACAAAGACAAGAGAGAAGGGTAGGATAAGGAGGAAAAGCTGACCTTGAAGAATCCCCAGCTCTGCAACGCAGATCGCAGCTTGGTGGCTTCCTCTGCATCGTTGGATGCAGATAGTAGGTCGAGATCTATGGTTGGGATCAGCTCTGGTAACTCGGCACCAGCCAGGTGCCCGCCAAGATCTTCATGCTCTCTAAGCAAGTACCGGCTCGGCGGCTCTTGCACGGTTGCAGCCAGTTGCTGCACAGAGTTTGGCAACCTCCATGACTCATCAGCCATTGGAGTTCTAGGATGTGTCACCTTTGCTTATCCTGGTCTGCTCTGCCTTTGGTTGTTGTGCATGAGCTATTTTGAAGGAAGAGCGGCACTAAGCAAGATGGATGACTTCATTTTTAATTAGCAAGTTGTCTTAATCTCAATCTGCGTGGTCTGTCGTGCATGCGATGCTGAATGTGATTATGAAGTCCAAAAGACTGACGGGCAGTCGGTTCTTACTTACAGAATTGGTTTATGTTTCAACTGTCTGATTAGTATGTGCTATATGTGGACACTTTTGTGTCACTGTATGCCATCTGCAGGTCACTTCATATCTCTTTCCGTTCAAGTGTTATCCCCTTGTTGTACATTATCTTCTACCGTGTTAAATTTCTATTTCAGATAGGTGCTTCCTATCCTGTCTATCGGTTCCCTATTTTTCTCGTATTATCGCTAGTAACTGATAGCTGGGACCATGCTGATTAAGACAAAGTCAGCTTGTTAATCAAGAATTGGGTATGCCTCGCCAACAATATTCTAAACTAGAGTGACCTGACAAAGCCACAATCTTTTAACAGAGTGAAATAAGCAAGGGGACAAACTACATCAGGATAATCGTTTCCAGCTAGTATGACAAATGAGGCTGTGAGAACCCAAGAGTTGACCATAGGATGAGAGAAAGATTCCACAGTGGACCATACATCAAAGCGTTTCAGATAATCTAACTGGGAGAGGCCTTCCATTGTCGCCAATCTTATTAAACACAGTTTATTATCTCATTCATGTCAATGCTGATGTAGCCTTGATCCGGAGTAGTTTATGAATTATCTTGGTAAAACTAGTAAACCAGCTAACCCGCCCCCCACGCACACGCACAAGAGTAAACAAACAAAAACTTGGTAAAAACCGGTGTCAGTGGTCTAATCTTGGTTCATCTGAAGTACCCCATCAGCGTGTTTGCCAAAATGCGTAGTTGAATTTTGCAGTTACATTCCATCTTCCGGGCACCCCCAAGCACACACTTGAATTTCGCCAGTAGGAAAATATGCAGAAAAGTAGAACTATTCTAAAACGGTGGTACTACTTTCTACTTTGATTCACAAAATCATCATTTGTCAATCAGTTCTCATGTCATGGGTTCAGATCTCAGAACATGGCAACGGGGAACTCATACAATCGACCCGAACAAACAAACCTCTGTAGGTGCAATCGCAAATCCAACTCTGGTTCCGGGAGTCGGCTCGAGGGTAAGAAGGAAAGAGCACACGCATTCATTTTTGGGCTGATGAGAAGTGGGGGATAGGATTCAGATCAGTTAAATGCATGTGCTCTTTGCTTCTTACCTCGAGGCGACTCCCCGCATGGGGGGTAGGCGTTTCCTTGGCGAGTCTGGCGGGCCCTCCTCCGCCGGCTCCCGCTGGGACCTCGCATCCCCTGCCACGGTTCGCCGGTTCCAGCGACACGGTGCTCAGCGTTGGCAGCGGACGGACAGTACTGGCTGGTAGCGAGCAGGCTATAGCGGTCAGCGAAGGCAGGGATCAGAGGCATTTGGGCGGCACAATGACAGGATACCGATGGCGTGGAGGCGGGCGGAGCCATAGCGCAAGCAGCAGGAAGCATGCGTTTAGCAGTGAGGAGATCATCCGATCTGCGAGGTCGAGGCTGGTGGAGGCTGGCTGTCGACACGAGTCCTGGCCGGCTGCGAACTCTGCTCGTGATGTGTGCGCACGTAACATGGCGGCTTGGATTGGCGACCGATCGATCCATCGTACAACAGTTACGAAGCATCGCGTATAGGTATAAAAATTGTAAAAAACCTGGGCGGGCCATGGCCCGGTTTAGCCCCAACAAAGCTCCGCCCCTGTGCTACTGTGTGCTATTGACAGTTCGTGCTTGAATTTTGGAGTTGTCTTTTATCTTCCTTTTTAAATAATTTGTATGAGTGCATCATGGATATCTCGACTAGCTCTTGATGTCGTATGTAGATGCCCGATATACTTGATATCAACTTAATATTCATATATTACCCTTTAACGAAATTTACATAATTCGCAAAAAAGGGAAAAATACGCCGTGACACCAAATTCCTGAAGGGAAGTATCTTGGCAAAAGGTGACATCCATGGAGTACACCATGCCAAACATGTCTGTCAGTTCCACACAACATGACAGTGACTAGTGCTGACATTTTTACACCCTAAAAATCATTATTCACCATGTTATGGGAATAGGATTTATGCATTTTGAAGAATAAAGGCTACGGAGCATATAAGAAGGAACGGTGGAGACACTTGAGCAGATAAGAGAATATGAAAGTGCCCAGAGAGCATGTTAATACAAACAAACATAAACCAGACTGATTCTTCATTTTAACCAGATTCACTCCCTGTAAGTTCACCAATTATTTACTTTCCATGGGTATTCTAGCATGGAACTACAGCCATCTTACTTAGATCTTCAGTGCATCGGCAATTCTTGGTCCTCGGCCTCCAGCGTAATGTTCATGGTGCAACACTAACAAGTCCTTGGCCTTCATTTTCCTGTATTAATTGTGCCGGTTGCTCCTCACTTAACAGATGAGCTGTCGGCCCAATCTCTTGCATGGGATCCACACCATAGAACATGGCCATTGATATCCTCTCTTTATTGGCATTAGTCACAACTCTACGCATTGGCCCCATGAAGATCCCGTTGGTCATTATCTGCACGAGGAACGGTCAGGCGGAAGTCACCAAGAAGACAAGAACTTCATATGGGAGAAAAATTACTGGAGGTTCAGAGATGGTCACCTCCATTGTAAGACCAATGTTGATCAGCAAGGTGTGGTCACACACAGCTGGAACATTGTACCAGGTTCCATCTCTAAGATATTGCAGCCCCACGACGTCTTTGTCCATGAGAAGAACCGTGAGAGCAGGGAAATCGGCATGAGGCTTGATGCCCAGGACAAGATCAGGTCTTGGACACGGAGGGGAGTGGTTGAATCTAGCAAAAGTGGGGGCGTTGCTGTTAAACTGATTAACGAGGCAGTCTTCATCAAGCTCCAGAAGCTTGGCCATTGCCCGAAGGCTTTGATTCTCTTGCACTTCAATGCGTATTCGTGCAGATCATCCCTGCAAACAGAGCTCAGGTAGTCCAATTAAACCAAGCCTAGTTTACTAATGTCTATTTTGTTTCTGCAGTCCCTGTCAGGTTCCGTAACTCACGACAGGAATAAGCAAATGAACTCTTTTCTACAAAGCAGACAAGATAGAAAGATCCGTTTGAAGTATCCCTGATAGATTACCTGAACGATTTGGGATGTGTAGGCCAATGGGCAAGGTTTCTCCCACCCTCCGGCTCAACCCTAAGGTGCAGTCGATCAGACCAGTCCAATCTCTGATCTTGAGCCCACACCTGGTCATTGCCATACCCTTCTACCTGGAAATGCTTGCCATCTATCAGGTTACTGCATTTCTTCTTCTCTTCGAGCGGTAGGTGAAAAAATTCCCTTGATGGGGTCATCACAGAATCCATCATAGTGGTCTCCATTCCATGGTTAGAAACCTGGTCACACAGGTTGATGCGTGTTACAGAAATAACAAGTACACCATGAACCAAAAATGCAAAAAAGAGTCAATCTTAGGAACAGGAAACTCGAGAACGAAGTAATAAAGAAACTGACCTGGAAGAATCCCCAGGTCTTCAGCGCTGACAGCAGCTTGGCGGCTTCCTCAGGATCGTTGGATGCAGACAGCAGGCCAAGATCAATTGTTGTGATGGGCTCCGGCATCTCGGCACCAGCAAGGTTCCCACCAAGCAGTTCTTGCTCTCTGAGCAAGTACTGGCTTGGTGGTTATTGCATGTTGGCAGACAGTTGCTGCACTGAATTCGGCAGCCTCCATGACTCATCAGCCATTGGAGTTCTTGCATATTTCTTTGCTGATCCTGGTGGTCTGCTCTGTCTCCCTGGTTGTTGTGCTCTCTTGAAGGAAGATGTTGCCCTATGCAAGATGTAGTTGCCTTCATCTCAGTACAGATTGTCATCAATGAGTAGGACAGTCACCAACCACTACAACAAACACCAAAAAGATCAGAGTGATGATGGCTACTCCTTTTTTCTACAGAAGAAAACCTAATAAGCCAAAACAAGCTATATAAGAGGACAAGCGAGGGGACAGACATAACATGGCATGTGTTGCCATGTACTCTGCATTTTACTACACAGGTGTATATATTCACCAGTTTGTACTTTTCACTAACTGCCAATCGGTGTATGGGTTACTAAGAGCATCTCTAGCCGCG